CAAAGCCCTGGAAAGAACACCCAGAGGCACAGCAAAACCTCCCCGCCTGCTCCAAACAGCTTGGAGATGGCTGCTGGGTGCCAGGGGGTCGGGGAGGGTGACGGCGATGGCCACCAGCAGCACAAGCAAACACAAGCTTGGTGTGGGTGAGGACCACGTCACGAAGAGATGGCAAGCTGTTTGCACGTGTTTTGCAGAGCAAACCCAAAGATCCAGCCAAGTCCCTCAGCCAAGCAATCATCTGTGCAAGGAACGGGCAAGGGATGAGCACAACGAGGTGGTGGAGGAGGGAAGAACAAGGGTTATGGTGCTGAGATGCGGCTCTGGCCCCACATCCCTGATGTTTTTGTTGGAACATCTACCTTTGCTGCACCAAGCCAGATGTTCCCAGCTCAAAGAGTTCCTGATGTGAAGAGAGGCTAGCTAAGCTCACGAGTTCAGGGCAGAAGGACACGTGCACACACAGGGCATGTCTCCTCACATTTCAGTGTGTGCACAGTATTGTTTTGATGCTGAGTGAATACCTCTACTCATGTGATGCTCCTGTAGACTGGGGGTTCATGAAGGGCCCTGGGCTCAGCTGTGCTGCCCAGTTGCTAAAGCACCATCTTGCTGGGCAATAAAAGGGTTTCAGAATTCCCTAAATGGTGAGGGGAAAAAAAAGCAACATGATGGACAGCAGCCCCACCGTGGATATTGGATGAGGCAGGAACATTTGGTGATAGGATAAAGTTTGGATAACCACCAGGCAAATTTTCCTGTGCAGTTTTAGGTGCAAAGAATCTCAGATAAGGTCACAAGATCTGCCTTTCAGGTTGCCCCCATCAGAGGGCTGAGGTAGAGGCTGATGTAAATCCCAGACATTTCTCCTCTGACCTTATCCCTAGCCCTTCCCAAGCCAGCAACGACTAGATAAGCCCCAGGGAGAGGAGACATAAACATCACCATGACCACACAGCCTGGACCCACCAGCTTTTCCTGCTTTACACCCCTGGAAGCCACCATAGAAGCAAATCCTTCACACCAAGTTCACACCAGCACTGGGAGCTGAAGGTGGGAATGCAAAGCACTGGAAAAGCCAAGGGAAAGCCCAGGGCTGACAACATCTCGGAGCAAAACGAGATGGGATCAGCAGCCACCATTTGTTATTTACAGCTTGTGCTTGGCTATTGGCCTGGAAATGATTACAGAGCCCAGGGAGAAAAGGCTCCACAACATCCCTGGGAATCCTCTAAGCAGATTGGCTCCTTTGCTTCAGAAGCACCTGCAAAGTGAGACCTGTCTCCAGGACAACTGGGTTGACTTCCTTCCCACTGCAGCAACAGGATAATTGCCAGCCACTGACTCTGCAAACCCTGCGTGGGGTTCATCTGAAGCTGTCCACACTGAGGCATCTCTTCATGAGCTGCTCCAATGGGAAGCACTCCAAGACACTCCTCTCCCATCCTGATGCCAGCTCAGGATCTCACAGGCACACACTGGGGAGCACCACGGTGGGACTTTCACCTTCCCTCCAGACTGTGCTTTCCAGTGACAACGCTGACATAACACAGCATACCCTGAGAACACAGAGACCAGCCCAGCATCACGTCTGTCCTGCCAGGTACCATCCAATGTAGTTGAGACAAGGCACAGGCTTCTCAGCCTGTTGCCACAAGCCACCTGCAGACTAACCACTGGGAAAGGTGACTCATGTAGAGCACAGCCACCAGCCTGGCTGCTCCATGCAGCTGTGAGTGCCAGGACTTCCCCCAAAAACCCACACATTCCCCTTCCCATCTCTGCTCCCACCTTATGCTCTTCACTATCTGTCCTTGCTGTCCATCCTTGGAAGTAGGTGCACTGTGAGAAGAGGCAATGAGGTTGTCCAAGACTCTCTGTCCACATCCCATCCTGCACTTTTAGGTC